ATCCTTGGGCCTGTGTGCCTGGGGAAGCCCCTTCTGTCAGGGGCATCTCTACTGGAAAGTGCTTCCTAGTTGCTGGACAAGACCCTAAGAAGGGAACTTATTCTACTGGAAGAGGCAAAGGTATTGGTCCTGGTCACTGGGAAGGGGACATGTGACCCAGGGGAGTTTAGGGCAACACTCAGAAAAACTGGCAAGCCGGCCCGCTGAAGAGTGCAGGGAGGCCACGGCGAGGGAGCAGTGCTGGCCAGGGGTGGGCTGGGACTTTGGGGCTCCCTGGGCACTGTGACCTCTGTGTCCCCTGCTGACCTGGCCGTGGTCAGTACCAAAACACCAAGTGCCTCTGTGGCCCCCACCTGTCCCTCCTGCTGGGCACAGCCATACAGGAGCAGCCCCAGGACTGGGACCAGGAGGTGGGACCTCTCCTGACGGAGTGGCTTTTGAGAACTGGCCACCACTGGCCACTGGGGATTCTGCCGCCTTGACCACTGCCTACCTCTGGCTGCCTCCAAGGACAGTGGAGCCCACCCAAAAAAGTGAGGTCGAGACAGCCTTCCTTCCTATTCTATGCACCCCAAAACCTGTCCCTGGGTACTTTCTACCAGGGAGAAACTTCGTACTTAGCTCCACTTGTTGGGGTCAAAGGAAACCCAATCAGTCCCTCTTCCTCCTGGCAACAGTGCAATTGGTACATCGGGTCTATCTATTGTCCTGGATCAGAAGCTGGGGTTCCAGGCCTTGCTCAGGGAACAGCTCCAGGGCAGGCAGGCTTTTCGCTTCTGGTCACAGCCTAGCAAGGCGGGAGCGGGCATCTGGTCCAGGCTGACCAACTGATTCAGATGGTCTCTCTCCTGGACAATTTCCACAAACGAATACTAAAAGACTGGGGAGATGACACCCCGGGATGGGTCGAGGAAGCTGAGATGATCAGGGGGCTCTGGGGGCCAGGGACAGAGCTGTGAGGTGGAGGCTGGGGGACAAAGAGACACAGGCTGCATTAGGCTCATGGCAGGGATGGGGGGGGAGCCCTGCTTCAAAGTCTCCTGCCTGGTCCTCCTGCAGCCACTTGGCCCTATGGGCATCCTTTGGCATGCGGCCACCAGGGATCTTCCTAAAACATGAGCCCAAACACGTAACTCTCCTATTGAAAACCCTCCAGAAGATTCCTCACATTTAAAATGAAATCCAGGGCGCC